AGCTGGCATGTGCGCGAGCCGTAGTCCCAGCTACTCGGAGAGCTGAGGCAGTAGGATCGCTTGAGCCAGGAGTTGAGGTGCTGTGTAGCTAGGCTGACGCCACGGCACTCACTCTAGCTGGACAACAAAGCAAGACTCTGTCTCAAAAAAAAAAAAAAAAAAAAAAACGATGGCGACACAAAGACACTTCAGAATAGAATGATCGAACCATCTGAGGACTAAGAGAAGCAGCAGCTTTGGAAATGATGAAGTATCTGTATATGGAGACAAAAATCACTTTATTATTATTTTTTTTGAGACAGAGTCTCACTCTGTTGCCCATGCTACAGTGCCATGGCGTTAGCTAGCTACACGCAACCTCAAACTCCTGGCTAGAGATCCTCCTGCCTCAGCCTCCCGAGTAGCTGGGACTATAGGGTGTCCACCATGCCCAGCTAATTTTTCTATATGTATTTTTAGTTGGCCAACTGATTTCTTTTTATTTTTGTAGAGACAGGGTCTCGCTCTTGCTCAGGCTGGTCTCGAACTCTGACCTTGAGCAATCCACCCGTCTCGGCCTCCCAGATTGCTAGGATTACAGGTGGAGCCACACGCCCGGCCAAAATCACTTTTGATTTCCAATTTCACAGGGAGGGCAACCTCTGCCAAAATAATATTTGATTCATTATTCACGCTAAGCTAATATCCTAAAGGATATTAGGATATTCATGCTAATATCTAAATTTATGCAAACTGAGAAAGCTTTTTTCCCATAATTTGAGGTGTCGTTTTCAAGTTGGTTAAGTCTCAATCAAATCCGCCCCCCCATATGTATATGAAAACATCATCTAGTTTTAAGTGGATTCAATCAACATAAAGGCCTTTCCTGGAGCCCGTCACCCGCAGATGGCGGAAAGCATCCGTCCTCTACCACACTGAGGTCTCTCGGGGACAGCAGCCTCGGCCAGAAACTCACCCACTGCCAGGCAGTGGTGATGTTGCAGAACTGGCCAGCTGCCTGTGACAGATGCACCTGGATGCCCAGCTCTCGGGTGGGACCAGCACCAGCACGCGGGTCACTGGGGCCTGGCGGGGCTTGTAGATCAGACGCTCC